AATCTATGACTGATTTAAAGAAATCTTAAGAAGATGAAGAAGAGTAATACGTTGTTGTATCACGAGACTTACTATCTAGGAATACATTGAGTATCTAACTATAGAGAGTTTAGTTTAAACTTTTATATGTATCATGTTTTAGCTTCTAAAACTCCTTTAATTTACATAAAACTCAAAATATAGCAAAATCCCTTCAAAACATATTTTTTTGCAAAGGATTTTTTCTTTGTGAACTTTAGAAATTCATAACTCTTGATCTAACTATTCAATTTGTCTTAAATTTATAGAATAGGTAGAATTCACCATTAAATTTTATCACAAAAAAAATCAACTATAAATTCACTCCCGATCTTTTAGCATCTAAGAAATCCTAGCAGATGCTCTAAACTAATCTCTAATATGGCCTCAGGCAACCTCCTCGAAGCCTATTGGTCATGATTTTTGACCAATAGGAATGGAGATTTTTATCATCCATCTCCATTCATCTATATCCGTGCCCTTATTATTCTTTTTGCTACTAAAACCCTTCTTTAACCTTTTTTTTTATAAGATTTATATAATTTATACTCTAAACATCAAATAAAAGAACAAAAATAAGTTTTCAAAGGTCACCAATGTCTAACAAAAGTGACTCTCAATATTTAGAAGTTACTATCAATCAAAACCAATCTTAAAAGTCACTATCAAAAGAAATTAAAGTTATAAAAATTCTACACTAATCTTTTTAAACAACCTCTTTTCAAGGTAATAATTAAATTATATTCTACAACCAACTAAAATCTTCTAACATGGCTCTCACCATGTTACTTAGTAAATTATATATTAAGTACATAGTTATATTATTTTCATATGGTAGTCAAACCACAACATGACAACGTGGCACATATTAAATGATTTATAGGTTTGGAAGGAGTAGATATCATATTGTAATTGTTTATAGTACATAAAAATTAATTAAAATATATAATATAATTAAAAGTATTGATGTGTATTAGAATATTTAGTAGGCTAATTTAAAGAGAGTTCATGTAAGAAAATTTATTTTTAGGTTTATATATTTTGATTATAATATTTAAGTTATATAAGATTTAGATATTTAGTGTAAAATTTTAAAAAAAACATTGGAGTTAAAATATGAAAATCTAAACCTTTAAGAAACTTATTTGTAAGAATGAAAGCAAGGTATAGATGGATGTAGGCAAGGAGTGAAGATCTTCATCCCTATTGGTTGAAAATCATATCCAATAGGCTCTAAAGAGGCTGTCCACCACCATAACAAAGATTTTAGAAACATCAAAAGAGACATTTGAGAATTAGAGGAAATAATTATAAGGTTTAAGATTTTGGCTATAATTTGTATACAAATTTTTGAGAATTTAGAATTAGAGTAATGAAGATATAGTCGTTTGAAGTTAAGGTGTCTTTTTAAGACATACTGATATTTTTTTGAGAATACAAGGAGTTTTACGATAGATTTTGGAGATTAGAAAGTGCCAATGCAAGAGTGATTTTAAGGACTATGTCTTTTATAAAAGAATTTTTGCATTTGAAGTTTTTATAAAGGAATTATAAAGTATTGAAGATAGTACATATAATTCAAAGGTAGTAAGTGAGTCTTTTTGTTAATAGTAATGGCTAGAGCCATACTTTAAGTTTTTGGACGAATTTTTAGTTCAAAATTTTTGAAAGTATATATTATTAGATTAGAAAGCTATATATTAAAAATTTATGATATTTAAATATTTAATTTATGAGATATAAAGAAAATTATACATAGATATATATAAGCAAGGATTTGAAGTTAATATTAGGATTTTGATAATATTTCAAGATTTGTAACAAATTTACAATTGAAATTTGTTGTAGTAATTTTTGAAAGTACATCAATAGTTCATGTAAATTTTTTATTTTTTGGATGGTTTGATTATGAGATATGAGGTATTGAAGTTTGGAAAGATTTCATATTAAAGATATATAAGATTTTAAAATATTTTTATCACATTTTAAATGATCTTTGGTACTTAAGGCTTATGTATTGATGTAATTTCTCCTACATGAAAAATTTTATATATAAACTTGGTACTTTTCTATCTTATGACTTGGTTGAATAATTAGTAATAACCAGAAGCATAGTGCTTTCTTAAGGAAAATTCTCTCTATTCCAACAACATATTGCAACTTCATTCGAAAATAAATTCATTTATTATTTATTTTGTATACAAAATTTATAAGAAAATCTCATGGCATTGTGGCTAAATTAACCAAGATCTAAGCCACTTATCATGGATTGAAGTTCTTTTATGCTTTTGGCATTAAGATCATCAAGTCATCAATGCTAAATTTTAAATTTGGCTTAATCTTATGGAAACTCAACAAATATCGCTACTTCAACTCTATTGACTTTCTTACAAATGATGAAGTAAAGGTTGTCATTTCTAAAGCCTTTGACAACATCTTATCTATCTAATATCTTCACAAAATATTCATTCATGTCAAATTAAACCTTACAACCATGTAATACAAGTTTGTTCATTGAAAGAAGGTTCATTTTCACCTTAGGCACATAAAGACTTCTTTCAATTTGATCTTCTTCATTTGATTCTTTACAACAATCTCTACTATAATGGAACCAATTCCAATGGCTTGCACCATGTTATTTTTTGTCAATCAAATTTTTATTATTGAAATTATTTCATAAATATTAATAAATATTTATATAGTATCATGTACTTAGTAGCAATCAAATGTATAATTCACTTAAATATGGTAGCTATGGAGGTTCCTTTACTTGCTATGAAAGCATAATCATCTCCACCAAAATTATCACAATTATTTTTTGTATTTTTTCTATCTCCTTTCTTAGCTTTGAAGTATTTTCTTGCAAAGTGACATGATTTTTTATAAACATAACAACTTTTCATATTACTTTTTGTATTATCTTATTGCTTAAAATAATTATCTTTGTCTTATTTTAAAAAGAGAGTCATATCTTCACTTTAAAGCTCTTTTTCTTTTTTTTTTAGTTATTTCATAGAAAAATCTTGACATGACATAATCTAATATGAGCTCTTCCATCTTAATGGATTACAATGCCACAATGAAGTAGTTGTAGGACCCTGAAAGGTTTACAAGCAATATCATTACAATATCATAATCTTCAATTGACTTATCAACAATTGCTAGCTGATTTGCAAGTACTTTTATCTTGTTGACATGAACCACGAAGCCATTTTCTTCTTCCATCTTTATTATTAAGAAATTTCTCCTTATTCATAAAATGTTAGCAAGGTATCTATTCTCATAGATGTTACAAAGAGTCTTTTATGCTTCTGTTGGTTTATGATAAGCAATTATGTGTGAGAAATTGGTATCATCAAGATTAATTGCAATTAACTCAAAAGTCTTCTTTTCATGATATTTGTATTACTTTTTCTCTTTGATATCAGTATTGTTGTTTAGAGGCTCTTCACTTTCATCTATAATATTCCAAAGATTTAATAAAGCTAATAAAAACTTTATTTTTTTCTTCTCATGGTAGAAGTTGTTACCTCTAAACTTCTCAATCACTTTTCAGTCCTCACCTTCACTTAAGCCATATCTAAAAGAGAGGTGTATAAAAAAAAAATCAAAAAAAGAAGTGATTATATTCTCAAAATTAAAAACCTTATAAACCTAGAATATCTTCTTTATTAATAAACTAGTGATTTTATTCTTAAATCACTCTCAACTTCACTTATAAGACCTCATAAGTCTTAAAATCTATCTTAACCTTTTCTACAAGCTTTGCCACTCTTCAATCACCTCTAATCTCACAAAATACTTTTAATCTCATAAAAATATCTTATCACCATAAGAGCTCTTTTAAGAACTTCAATACAAAAAAATAAATTGTAAATCCACCAATGATGTAACTAAGCAAAGAAACACAATAGTAATATTCTAAAACATCAAATATGCTCTTAACAACAAATGAGAAAAAAACTACAATAACAAATAGATGCAAAAGTAGGATTAGAAGATATCAAATATTAATATTAGCAATAACTATAAGATTTATTCCTTACAATAAGAAAGACATCAAAAAACTTCAAAATACATGAACAAAAATGAGTGGGTCCATAACCTATTGAAGAAAGACAACTTTGAAGTTGCAATACATAGTATCAATAAGATTGCACACAAAGAGAGTATGGAATAAGATGATTCTCACTTCCAACAGCCGTTATTTACAAATGGTGGTTCTTGCCTTAATAATAACTTCTATCATTTGAGTTTTACATCCATCTAAAGATATATCAAGTATATTCTTTGATATCTTATCAATTATAAAGATATGCCTTTAGCATATCCTTTATGCTCTTAGGATTCTTTGCCAATTCACCTACTTCAAAGATATCTTATAATATATACTTTATATTCTTACATAATCTTTGAATATTCTCTATTTGATCCTTTATCTTCTTAACTTTTGATCCTTGATCATGTCTCTTATTCATAGAATACCTTTTTCACATACTAAGATTCAATTCTTTAACTATTAATAATTAACATAAGATAATATCTTTTATAAGGTAATTTATTCTACTTTTACTTTTATTTATTTATTTCAACAAAATAAATCAATTTAAAGTGAAAAGATGAATAAACATAATAATGTTATTCTAAAGTTTAAACCTAAATTACTACATTACATATGCTCTATATTATAACTTATATCGAATTTTTATAAACATACTTATGTACAAAAATCTAAACAAATCAAAATTGAATTCTAACATAAAATCTTAAGGCCTATTTTTAATAATTCATACATTCTTATTATATTTATTAAAATAAAAAATTCATACATACATTCATACATACATACTCTTAAGTCAGGTATTAAATTTGATTTTTAAATCTAATTTGTCAATGAAGCATTTGAATTGAACCATATCAATAGTTGATAATGTATGAACGATAGAACATAGCATTTACTTATAAACATTTGAATAACCATATGACCCAATGAAGAAGGAAGCTTAACTCAGAAGGCCAGCCACAAACTTCGATACATCAAATTAGGCAAGATTTAAGTTCCAAGCAATTACTTGACAGAGGCCTATATTGTGAAGTATCAAATCAAGCTGCCGACACTATATCTGCTCAAAACTCCTCCATGATTCAATCGAATTAGAAAACCACAGAACTACCCTTCTTAAGGAAGTAGCCTTCATTAACACAGAGCAAAATTTTAATACTCGTCCTGGGTAATACCCACACCTTCGAAAAAGAAAATGCCAACACATGTATCATTCCATAACTTTACTCCACAACATACCGCAATTGCTTCTGCTTAGAGTATGAGATTCAATCAACGTGAGATGGATTCCACACATATAAAAAGCAGCAACGAAGCTTTACCTGTCCTCACTTGCGGATCCACTGGCAATCAAAGAACGCATCACAGCCTGTGCTGCTCTCAGTCACCCTAGACACCCATAAAACTGATGATCACCAAAATAGTCATCACTGGAAAGAAGTTGATAGCAACAACGTGATGCAAGTAGAGCCGGTAACTTACAACATCCCATTGAAGGTAATAATAAGAATTGGAGAATTCCTGAAAGAGGTCAAAAAATGCAGAAAATGCTAATGCTGTCTTGAAATGTGACCATCCGGCTTTACAAATGCGACCTCCCCTAAAGATGAACACATAGATGATGAGACTGTGCTCCAATCATCTAACAGGGAAAGTGTGGACAAGTTTCCTACCGTCTTGCAGAAGGTCCCTAAAATTATACCTGCCATGACTAGAAAACGTTCCTTTGTCACAGCCTTAACTTCTCTTGAAAGATCGCCGAGTTAAATGTGAGAATACCATGATCACAACGAGGACAACCCACGCCACTCGACCACCAAGAGCCTGTTGGGCCTCAACCACCCACTTGTTCCTTGTCTTCGTCGAGCCTAGAAGTAAAAGGCTTACCAGCGTAAATGCCAAGGCGTATCGACTTAAGACAGTTGAAAAGGATGCCTGCATCACCGAATACAGATTATGTCCAGTTAGAAGACCTCTCGTATCTCCCTCAAGCGAGAAGAGTTAGCATTTTCATCAATCGTAGCAACTAATCTTCAAATAAGCACGAAATGCATATCTCTGCCACCACACTGGAGCTGTGCACGATCAGGAAGCGTTCGGAAGCCAAGGGCTTAAGCTAATTGCAATAATCATCGGTTTGCCAAAGCTAGAAATTCGTCTTGTGACATGCTTTTTCAAACATACTTGCGAGAAAAATGGAATTGCATAAAATAAAGAGACCAGAATCGCCAACCAACTTTGATTACCAATCCAGAGCATAAAAGACAACTGAGAAATTCTTCGTTTTACCCCGCCCGCCCTACAACTCTCAGAATTTCGGGGCCTACATGCACAGTCCATGATCCCGAGTTGAGTAGAAGAATAAACACTAGAATTTTCATAAGTCTGCGGCACCCACCTTGGGCTCTCCATCGTAGCGGATGATGGTATCAGGCTTGCCAGAGTAAGAGATCAGGGACAGTCCATTTCTAGGGTTATAGAACTGCTCCACCCCGCGGCCTAGGGTTGGAGAGTATGCATAGATGGCTTTCAATCGACACTGCTTGATCAATCCCTCCAGATCGATCTGGTTTTTCTCATGCCCCTGCCACTGCACCTTGAGTTTGTGCACCGGCCCCTTGCCTTTGATGTAAACCTCGACTAAAACCCTGTCTTCTCCCCACTTCGACATCGCCACACAATCTATCTGCTTTTCTCACCCTTCAACCACAAAATACCTCCGCATCTCAACTCTCCTCTACATCGGCCGATGGGATACTCGCGGTACTAACCTTGAGCGATTGAACCCCTAACAACACCATCGAAATGAAGAAACGTTGCACGGGAGCGACAAAAAAACACTGAAACGGAAATCTACGAACCTGGAGGTTCTGTCCAGAATATTCATCCTCCTCGCAGCAGATTCCCCCTAGAAACAACCGTCCAACGAAAAAACTGCACATGGATCAACTTGAAACAGAACACACAAGCAGCGCCTTAATCCTTTCCACGACGTGGGCTCCGACGACTTCACAGGCTTACAAATCATAAAATACAACAATTGGATATATTTCTAATGTAAAAGCTGAGAGAGAAGGAGTTCAATATCAAAGTTAAGGCCACTCTTAGAAAGTGAACATAACTAAAGAGTGAATTTGTTTGGGTAAAATCTACTTTTCCCGATGTCAGATAATAGACAATCAATTTCTTTCCAAGCTGACTCTGAACCTGCAGGCCATTCTGAGAACCAAGTCAAGGGTGATAGACAGGCCATTTTATAAAAGGAAAACCCCTCTTTTTAAGCACGCTAGTTTAATGTAGGACCGTCGATTAATTAATTATATATATATATATATATATATATATGTTGAAAACTCAGGGAAATGGGCAGAATTGACTTTGACTCTCTTACTTCACTAAATCACAACCAATTTTACTATTGATTTTATCTCCTCTAGAGTAGTAATGTGAAAGATGAAGAAAAATTTCTTTAAGATGTTTCAGATGAATTTAGAGTCTATAGTTATTGGAACTTACAAACTACTTCAATTATTAGAGGATTTCCTTAAGTACCATGTTAGTAAGACTGTTATGATACTTATTCTTCTTCCTTCCAATCACAAAAAAGTCAAATTTGATGGTATTTGAAAATATAAATGCAAGGGGGCCACAAAATTTGCAAATTCTTTAAAAGAGATTGTTTACAAATGCCTAGTTTTTCTTTGCTAATTCCTACCTCTAAAACCTCTCAATTCAATTGACTAACTCAAATCCTTCCAATTGTCAGGTTGAAAGATTTAATTTAGGCCATTATACAAAAGAAATATAAAAAAATTACAAATTAATCTTAAAGAAATATATATATATATATATATATATATATATGATAAAAAAATCTGAAAGAAATCTTTAAAAAATATTAAAATTAAAAATCTTCAATGAATTCTAAACAAATCACAACCAAATCCTAATGAAATCCTAAATCCTAACCAAATCCTAAATCAATCCTAACCAAATCCTAACCAAATCTTGAATGAGCTTTAATCAAATCCTAATGAAATCCTAAACCAACCCTAATCAAATCCTAATATAATTCTAAACCAATCCTAGTCAAATCCTAATATAATTCCAAATCAATCCTAATCAAATCCTAATTAAATCCGAAAGAGATCTTAAACAAATTCTAAACAAACTCAAGAATATTCAAAGTAAATCCTAATCAATTTCAATAGCTATTTTAAAATCTCAATAAATACTAATCAAATTTTTGATGTCAATTCAAATTTCACCTACATTTCAATTCACAAGCAATTAAAAAGCACTCAAAATTTGAAAAAAAATCTAACTTATTAATCAAAAGAAAAAGTTCCTAAACCTCTCGGATGTTGGTTTCCCTCTATTTTCAACCTAGATATTGATCTTTTAGGAATAATTTTTCCTTACTTAACCATTAAATTGCTTCAAAAATTGATTGTTTTGTAGATTTATATGTCCAGATTGCTCTCACCAATTTTCACTTCAATAAAATTAGAAATTTTTTAAGATCATAAAAATCCTCCCTTATCTTAAATTTCAAATATTTGAGATCCTAATCCAATAAAACTCTTATATTCTTCAATCTAACTATTTGATTGACATCACATTTTTCAATTACATTGAAGATAATTCCAATGACAAACTTCCAAAATTTCACCTATAAATATGATACAAAACTTACAAAATACTCAAAATTCTAAATCTCTTTTTATTTTTCAAAATCCAAAACCACTAAGTACATCTCTTATTTTTAAAAGCCCTCAAAAATTCAACATATCTTCAAATCACATGAAATGAATTCTTAAAAAAACTTTTCATATGTCTACTTCCATATTCTGCTTTCAAATCAACTAAAGAATCTTAGAATTGTTGTATGTGCGTGGTTTTGTGTCTTAGGATCTGATTTCAACTATTATTTACAACCAATCCTCTATAGATATCAATTCATAATATTTTAGAATAATTTTTACTAAAGCCTATTCTTGACTCTCTTCTAAAGATGCTTATATGATTTATTTTTTTAATCTACTTTATTTTTTCCTATTTGTGGCCTTACAAAGTAAGTAGAAGTCTCTTTAACAAGAAAGTAATATTAATATTTGTTAATTTGTACTACCTCCTTGTCTATTATGTATATTAATGAGATAATTTTCTAAAATATTTTCATTTAAATTTATTTATGATATAATCTTTCATTTCTTCTTTTACCTAATAGCTATGTTATGACATGACAATGGATAAGAATTAGTTGAGCAACTAGAGGACAAGAGCTTACTTAACTCTCTTTGTCGACAAGGTAAAAGGCACCAGTCTTAGCCAACCTCCTATAGGCACCAAGTGCCATGGATAGGAAGATCCAAGTTCAACTTGAGGTGATATAGTAATGTAACACAAATATATGGTGAAAGAAAAAAATAAATGTTTGAAAATTTTATAAGTATTCTAATATATTAAAAAATAAAAATATGTAGACTTATGCATCTAATTATCTTAAATTTATTATATAAATTTAAACTCAATCAAAAATTAGATCAAAAATTATTAAAATCCAACTAGACTAGAATCTTAAAATTTGGATTTTAAGAATTAATAAGTGTTTTTTTGATCTTAAGTAATTTTTTAGTTGAATTGAAGCAAATATTTGTAAACAGATTATGAACTTAGTTTTTAATAATTTTAATTAATTTGAGTACAAGTAAATGGTTTACTAAAGAATTATTTCTACTAATAGATTAATATGAAGATTAGAAAAGGATGATGGCCTATATCCAAGAAATTAATAAGTTTTTTTTATCTAATCAATAAGTTAGACTCTTCTTTAAATTTTTGGACTTATTTTTTACTATTAGATTGCAAAAAAATTAATTAAAATTTTATTGTAATTATTAAAGATTCAATTTAAGTTTTTTTAGATTTTTATTAGGATTGTTAAGTACTTTGCTTGTTGCAAAAATAATTTATCTTCTACAATCAAATGTCCACTGCATTTCTAGGTTAGTTTTTATATAATACAACACCATTTTCAAATGAAAGAGAGATGCAATGAAAATAACTATGAAGCAATAAGAGAAATATTTATTAAATAAATTAGAAATGAAGAGATAATTTTTTACTAAGTCTATGACATATATAATTCTATAGAAGAAAATCAATTGTTTGCATTAATAATTCAAATTAAGAACAACCTATAAGAACAAAAAGAATTATACCTAACTTGATATACATTGTAGACTTGATGTTTAAGATTAATTAATGGAATACATTGTAGTATGCTAGGATATGTCTTAATGTAGGGGAATTAAGAATGTCCATTTTTTTGATGCTTTATATTACTAATAAAGATAGTGATTAAGAAAAAATATTAATATATCACATAGTTTTTTTATATTTTTAAACATAGATATATTTTGGCCAAATATAATAGAAATTGACAAAAAAAAAACTACATAATATGAGGCTTTGATAAGAACTATTAGAAAAGACCATTTGTATTGGAAAAAAAATTGACGAAATTCAAGCAAAGCATCTTATATTTTTGTCTTAGTTCTAAGGAGAAAAAAAAAAAAAAAAAAAAAAAAAAAAAATGCATAGATCCATTATTGCCTAAATTTTATAAAAAAGTATATTTTGATTTATATAAGGCAATATGCTGCATGTTAAAAGTTGATATTGAAAGAAAGTATGATTTCGAATATCAAATATTCAAGACCAGATATGTCAAAAAATCAAAAGATATTCTAATATGTAGAAAGAGATTGGACAATGTCGTAATACATGAAGTCTTGCTTGAAAATGCTCCAAGCACTTGGCTGTGGAAGGTAGAATGGAAATTGCAACAACAAAATCCTAAATCTAATAGAATACTAACTAAACTATAATTAGACCATAATAATGCTAAGCAAGCTTTAATCAAATTCAAAGAAACATCAAAGGAATTACAAAGAAATAATAAAAAATCTTAAAGAAATATTAGAATGATCACAAATATATCTCAAATACATCTCAATTCAATCTTAATTTAATCTTAGTTAAAATCCTATTGGACTTCATTCAAACTTTAGGCCAAAAACTAACTAAATCTTAAATCCTAAGCAAACTCAAATAAAATCCTAAACCCTAAATCAAACTCTAACTAAATCTTAAATCCTAAATCAAATCCTAACCAATCCTAAATCAAATCCTAAATCCTAAAAAAAATCCTAACTAAATCCTAATCCTAAATCAAATCCTAATTAAATCCTAAATCCTAAATCAAATCCTAATTCTAAATCAAATCATAACTTGTCACGGACATACTCATGTAAGCTAGTAATTACATATATAAATAGGTAGAAGTAAGTAAAAGTAAATAAAAATAAGTTAATTCTATAGTATTTGATATAAAAGCTTCCTAGAAGCTTCATAGATGTCGCTTTAATTTTATAGGTGTCTTTAATTAAATTTTTAGATTAGAAACATGGTCAACAAGTTGGCCATGTACCACACATGTTATTAGCTTGAAGACCAAGCTAACTATGTGACCCACATATAAAAAAACTTGCCTTGAAAGTCAATGCATGTGTCTTACAAAGTCAACACATATTGCAGGTCTTATAGAACATCGCCATATAGCCCCTAGTTAGATATTATATATAGAGACAAGAGTGAAGCCTTCTTCACTCTTCTCAACTCCTTTCTTGCTTCCAGTCTAGTTTCAAGGGTCTCTAGTTTTCTTGGCTTTTGGCAATAGCCATTCCAGTTTCTTTCTTAATATATATATCAAGTTATTTCTATTTTGTCATCTTTCTTTGAGAGAAGTTTCACTTGTTTATTTGTCTTTATCATATTCTTATCCTTGACAAATTAATAAAAGTACACTTACAATATCAGAGCTTTGTCTAATCTTGATTAAGAGTGGATTACCTCTTTTTCTTGATAAGACATAAGCATATAA